GTGGAATGTGAGGGTTTGCAAAGATAGCACTTTGGTATGGTATAATTTCGTGGTCAGGAAGTGGGCATGGCTCATGTGGTGTGTAAAGATGTGCTTTGCTATAGTCAGACTTAATGAAAATTATAAGTTGACCTTGTAAATTGTTCCAAAGCTATGTTTAATTAGGTGAAGAAGGAATGAGTTAATTGTTTGTTTGGGGAGAATTTATTTAATTTAATATAGGATTAAAATTTATATTTTATATATAATAACAAGATGCAATATATGACCAGAAAACTAATGGGTAGTAGAGAAAAGCCAATTTGGAGTCCTTATTTAAACTGTAGTATAAAAAAATATTATAGAACATGTACTGGTGTAAAACATTTTATGTTTTTGGATAATTTAATTAAAAATTCAAATCATACTGAAGTTGATATGAGCAAAGATCTTATTCAAGAAAATGATGAAAGTTTACTTTTGCAAAAAACTAAAGAAGCTAAAACATATACGTAAGTTAATATAATTTTAAATATATAAAACTATAATATATCTAATTAATTCAATTATTTATTAATTATTTATAGAAAATTTCTTGCAATGAAAGAAATTAAATGTTCTTATAATGAACAAAAGTGTTATAATAATTTTGTAGTACAAAAATGATCAAAAAATACTACAAATATACCTGATGAATGGTTTATTGGCTATAGCCGCTAGTGGGAAAAAGGAAAAGGAAAGCATTTTTTTCAACCATTAAAAAAAGATATTGATCCAATTTTACTTAATAAATTGTTTAAAAATGAACCAGTATTATAATTTATATTTTTAATTTTATTAATTTATATTATATTTATTATTATTAATTAATAAAATATATTTTAGATCAATTTAATAAGTAATACAATATCCTGTTCAGTTATTCTTTCTACGAAATCACATAATAACAAATGTGGTAAATATTTTATATATTACTATTTATTTAAATATATATTACATAAAAATTTATTAATTTTATTTAAATATTTAGGTTTTTTACACAAACGTTTAAATATTATAGAAGAAGGAAAAATTATTAAAAAAGATTGTGACGTTATATTTTATAAGCTTATCTCTTGTGATTTAAAAAATACACCATATGTTATATTGGTTTGTAAAGGTATTCACCACCTTCTCCTGAAAGAGTTCCAAAAGAAATTATGCATAAATTAAAAACTATGATTGAAATAGCAAATAATGATTTAATAGATATTTCTCCAAAAAAATTAATATCTAGTAAAAAATATTTAAATACAATAATATATATTTAATAATTAAATTAAATTAATTAATAATATATATATATATTATAGGTAATCTTATTAAAGCTACTTTTGAAACTAATTATCTCTCAGAAATTCATGCGTCACTTAATAATATAGACAAATTAAAGCAATTGGTTTCTAAAGTTCAAAAAGAACATAATCCTTATAGACAAAGTATTCTTGGTTTAACTTATAATATATGGAAAGAAAAAAAAGAATATGACAATTATGTTCAACAAGCAGGTAAATAAATTATACTATTTATTTTAAATTTTATATAATTATAATAACAATTTTAATATTTATATAGGAGTATTTGCTGATAGACAAATTATGGTGATTTGTATTTCTAAATTACAAGCTGAAACTTGGAAATCACTTGAATATTTTGAAATCGATATAGTATTTAAATGTGTTCAAGAAAACATCAATAAACTAGAAATAAATATTATAATGAAAATTATAAAATTGGTAAATATATTATCCCTTAATATATAGACCAACGCAGGCAAATTTGCCTGCATTTTTGCACTTTTTTATCTCTGATTTACTTTTTTAAAATGCTAAAATATTTAAATAAAACTTTGCACAATTATATTTGAAAATAAGGATTATTTTTTTGCAAAATTAGTTTTTATAATA